AGAAATTTCCGACTGACGCTACTATTATTACACCAAGCTGAAAAGAAAATCCAGCCTTTGAAAATATTTTCCATTTCCTGAAATTATTTTTTAGGACATCTGCAAATGTTCGATCGCGTACGCCGACAAAATGGCAAAGAAGGCAGAGCTGACCACCGAATTGGAACAACTGTCAGAGAGCAGCGTGTACGAGAAGAAATTTGTCGTGTCGACCGCTTGGTGTTTCGCGATCAACAACATCGATTACATTAGAACGTCGATTGGACCGTTGGCCAACGATCTGGGACTTCAGAATATCGTGGATGCATTGGCGGAGAGGAAGACTCAGGAAGAGGCAGAAAGGTGTCAACAGACGCTTCAATTAATCATCGACAATGCCACAGACACCGTCAGAAACAAGATCATAGAGCTGCTGCAAGTTGTCGCGAATAAAATGGCCCCTGCTATGAACAGGTAACGGACAGCGTACGAACAGGAATAATCGGTAATACTTGACTGAAGAAAGGTTTTCAACAAAAATTTGAATGAAGGTATCTCATGGAGGGTGCAGAGTTAATAGACACGACCAGCAATTCCATGGAACGACTTCTACAATATCTGGACAGTAATCTGACGACGTTGCACGATTACCTTAACGACGACAATTTCGAGAGGATTTTGCTCGTCATCTGGGACACGATATCGGAGAGTTTATATCAATTGGTACATAATAATCTAGAGGTACGTGGAAATGGAAATTATTTGTTTTCTTTTCTTTTTTTTTTTTTTTTTTTTTTGTTAAACAATACTAATATTTAGGAAATAACGAAATATACGCACTAGGGAAAGTAAAAGTGGAAATTGAAAATTTGTGTGCTACAGAGAAGGAGGCCACCGTCGTTTTACTCGAATCTTCATCGTTCCTTGCATACCCTCATTCGGTATTTCAACATCGGAGCCGACGAGGCGGCGAACGTGAGAGTTTTAGAGAAAATCGAACACCTGCTGGAGCTCCACGGTCTGGAGACGGCCGAACTGATACATCGTTACCATCAGGAGAGAATAAAGGAACAGAACGAGTTGGAAGAATCCGAGTACGGGCAGATCACTGTCAAGGCACAGTTTGTCGATAATTCACTGAACATTCAGATACTGAACGCGAGGAAACTGCGGCCAGTTGACAGTAACAGTAAGGCGATAAAAGTTGATATATCCTTTCGTGTATACGAATATCTTGAATAGTTCGAAACTACAACAATTAGAGATCGCACGATTGCTAGAAATGAGATTCTTAAGCTAAAGTGAAAAAAATGAATCTCATAGCTCGTTGACGCTTGCTAATCTTTGACTCGACGACAGGTGAACGAGCGGGTGATTCATGGCGCAAGGAAAATGATATTTTCTTTCGATTTTATAGGCGATTTGGTAGGCAAGGTGTCTACCCTCAAGCGCAAGCTTCATGCAAAATCTAAACAAAGACTGAAAGAACGGAAGACAAGTATGTAAACCGTGGATGTCAAGCAAAACAGAAACAAACGGAGAACAGTGTTCTCCTTCATCACTCTCTCGATTAGATCCTCTCATGCCTGCCCTCGTGATAATTAGAACTTCAGATTTGCATGAACAAACCGCCGACCAAACTGTTATGCTACGTTTTCTCTCACTGTGTATTGTATTTGTACCTAGAGAATTGTACGAGCATTATCGCATATCGAATAACTTTTCTCCCCGACGTAGAAATGTGAAATTCATCACGAATGACGCAGACTTCTATAAGGTTCCAATTTACGAGATATTACATAAGTTTAAGTGAATGTTACGCAGCAATCCAATGTTGTTGAAGCTGTGGAACCTTATAGACGAAAGACCCATCAAGAGTAAAGATAGTCACCTTTCACCGTGCATGAGCCTAAATATTGGGGTCTTTCCGGTGTTGCGGGAGGGCAATTTGAAAATAACGGTTCGCCCTATTTTCCAGGTAGTTGCGACTCGTATGTGAAGGTGAAGCTACTTCCGGAAGAGAAGTTCGCTGACGTGAAGCTGCCTAAAACGCACGTGCAAAAGGAGAACCTGTATCCGCTGTTTGACGAGATTTTCAACATGTGAGTAACATGGCTGATCCTGTTTCTACACAGCGGGAGTAGAATGTTTATTCAACGGACGATGAATTTGCAGTCACCTGACAAACGAGCAGAGAAACACGGAAAACGCGATCGTAGTCTTCGAGCTGAAAGACAAAGATTTTCTTCGATCGAGATTCATGGCGGAAGCTTTCCTACCATTCGGCGAAATTGCTAAAACAAGCTCGGACCAAAGAATCGAATCTCTGGAGCAAATCCACTTGAAGCTTTCCCGTCCAACGAGAAAGAGCAAGTTCTCTTTGCTATTTATTCCTTCAATCAGAACTAACCGATTCCTTTTGTCTAATCTCTCTTCACTTTTTTTTATTTATTGCTTCGCGTGTTTAGGCACGGACGTGATCCAAGCGTTGGAACATAGGAAGGGAGACAACCAGGCGACAGAGTTCTTATCGAAGCTCAGTTCCAAGGCTGAACGAAAGTAATCGTTATTACTCACTGAGACAATTGAAAAGAATTGCTCACTGTGCAATAAAAAAAGAAAAAAAAGAAAGAAACAACGTTTCAACTATCGAACGAAGATGATGAGATTGTCAATTTCAGTTGTTTGTGACGACGAACAATTAACTTGATACGCGAGTCTTCAGATCATTTTGTTAAGGCAGTTTATATCATCGCTATTTTTCAATTAATTTATGTCAAACTGTTTCGCAATTAAACTACGCGCTTCAACGTTACACATAAAACATTTTTTCTAACTTCAAATACGAGCGTGTGCGAGCGATAAATTTCGTAATTTGTTCAAATCGTCAGTCTTCATTTCTCACGTACAGATTAGCTTGTTCACGAGAAACGGAAGAATAGACTATTTTTATAAAGTTTTGACGAGTATACGAGCTGTTCTTCTTAACAATTAAGGCTGTGTATCGCTTCAACTATCGAAAATTTTCCTTCGCGGAACACGAAACGTCGCATTTCAAAACTAGAAACATTATAAGGCTGAGTAAGTGCTACTTACGAGCAACATTGTTGATCATCATTAGGTTCACAGTACACCTAACTGCAACAAATCAAAAGTAAATTAAAGACGAAAATAAAATTGCAACATAGGTTGCAACAGTATGCGAATAATTGCAACTATAAATCGAACGCGTATATGTTTCATATAACGAAAGTGTTAGTGTTATTATATTTGTTGGAACGATCAATTCGTGAGTAAATCGCGGTCAAAAAAATCTGTTATCGGACTCGTTGCTTGCAAATTATCTGTCGCGACGTGATATTCAAAAATTAATATTTTCTCTTTTTTTTCATTTTGAAACAAACACTTTTGAATATTTTGATTAAACTTGAAACGATTATCGTATCCACAGGACAGACAGAGAGTAATCATATCTTATTTTAAATATTGTAACATGTATTTACGCGCGAGGCAATTCAAAGTGTAATGAACATCGAATAAATTATTAAAATGTATCAACACAAAGCATTGTTATTTTGTAAGTGCTGCTTAAAAATTCCATAATACGCGATTAATTTCTCATCTTGTAACAAGTTATTATTAGATTCATCCGCCATTTATGGAAGGAATTCCACATTATTATGCACACGTGCGTAATGTTTTCTCATTCCTCATTCCTGTCTGCATACATACAATGCGCTCTGTTTAAAATTACACGCACTTCATTCCGTTTGCGTGCGTAGAGGGAAACGCGGTTTGAATCGCTTATTCCCGCTCGGAATTCCAGTTCTCGGAAATGTCAGTGTTACGCTGTAGTTACCTACTATATCATCAGCCGCATATGAAGATTCCAAGAGAGCAAGAAAAAAAAAATCTATAAATTTAATTCAAGTAGTATATCCCCTGTCATTTTTTTAAAAATTCTATCCTTCTCTGACTGTTTACACATTTCGTTCAACATTTATATTCTCATCGTCTCGCTGTTTCTCAAGTTTCATTTACAAATAGTAAATTTCACGATTGATTTTAACAAACGACAGGTTTGTTAAAAATCGTGACACGATTGTCACGATTTATCTATTGTGAATAGATTGATTACAGTTTTTCGTTTTCACGCACAATTGAATGTTTTTATCTTGCCAGACTGTTATCGATACTGACGTTGTTGAGGAAACAAACTGGTGCGTCGTCATCGGGGACTGGAAGAGGGAGCTGGAATATCAAAAACGACCTTTGTTCGAGATTATACCTTTTTTCTTTTTTTCTTTTTTTTTTATAGTTAATCTTAAGTTTATCTTGTGCAATGTTTCTTTAATATTATGCAGTGAGCAGAGAGAATAATTATATATTAAATATTAAATATTTTTTCCCCAATTCAATGAACTTAATAACTAGATAGATAAACGTTAAATAATTGAATTCGAATGGACTTGTTAATAAATTTTTTTCCAAGCAGCTGTGTGTTCCTTAACGATAGCTTATTTCGTCAAATAAGAATCACGCTGGAAAGTCAATGTTGCGTGGTAAAGGCATGTAATTCGGATTATTTAATTGACTCTATTTCGTAACATGTTATCTCGTTATCGCAGCCCCATAGGCTGATGATTCAGTGGCGTGCAGAAAGTCATCTACGCAACGCTTGTAGCTACAAGTGCACGCAATGCGAACTAATCTCGCAATTTTCTATTATAGATCCCCCCTCCCTCTCCCCATTCCTTTCCTACCGTCTTTTGTATATCGCAGAAGATAAAAAAGAAACGAAAGAAAGGAACTGAAGACTGCACAGGTGAAAACACAAGGCACTACCTTTCGTGCCTTGAAGAACAATTTTTGCATAAAGATAATTCTGGTGTCAGTCATAAGGTCAGTAAGAAGATCCGTCAATGCAGACTCTGTTGCATCTCTTTCGTGAAATGTGAAATGATGAGCTTCCTGCCGATCGAGAGAGAATATGACAATTTCATTGATATTCCATAAAAGTAACGTAACGTTGGAAAGCGCGAAGCGCGCTCGTCGTCCCTTCCAATTGAAATGTCGCGGAAAATGAACACGACAATTTCATTAATACGATTAATTCGTGAAAATACGTATGTAATGTAGGACGAGGAGGTTGAAAGGATCGAGTACGGACGTTAATAGAAAGAAAATGAGCTTTGCCTTTCGGCGTATTAATTAAAATACGCAAACAAAGGTCCCTTTTAACGATCACGTCGATAGCAGATCGACTGCTGTGTCCCGTTCGAACAGCAACGGCTGGATCCTTCTAATTTTACACGTAACGAGATCTATGGTATCGGTTTTAGAGAAAGATCGGGGGAAACTGTTTAAAATTCAAACGAAGCATCGGAAGTTTCGCGCAAGAGGCAACGACGGCTCTCCGCTTTAATTGCCTCGCAATTGATTTCATATCGCTGCGATTGAGCTTCTTTCTTTTTCTATCCAGACCACGATTCTACGATTCTGCGTTTTGAAAGGCGCATCGAAAGCTACGAGATTGAATGTCGTTGTCGTGCTCGAACGAACGAGCAAATTATAGTATATCTAAATTACTTGTTTCTCGTCGAGAACATTATATTCAATATTGAAATTTGCATATCTTCTGTATTTCTATATTTCCATTCATTTTAAGGTATCGCAGTAAAAATAACAGATGCACTATATTATATAATATCTATATATCTATATCTGTAAATATATATATAATATCAATATATTACTATATGTATAATAATAACACTATATATATAATAATATACTATATATACAAGAAACGACAAACTTCAAACGACAAACGACAAACCGCAAACGACATGCGACATGCGACATGCGTATATCAATTATAGCATATATTTATATAATATATAATATCCATTATAGTATGTCGAAATTATTTGTTTCTCGTCGTGCACTTTATGTTCAATATTGAAATTTACATATCTTCTGTACTTCTATATTTCCATCCATTTTAAGGTATCAGGTAAAAATAACAGATGCACTATGTTATATAATATCTATATATCTATATCTATATATATAATATTAATATATTACTATATATATAATAATATACTACATATACC